CTTCCCAAAGGAACATCCCGGGGACCCCACTGGGGTGGGCAGCACCCAGCCCAACCCCAAGGCAGCGCTGCCGGTTCAAGGGGTGTCGTACCATCACCGGGAAAATAATCGCGGCCGTGGTGGACTTGAGGACCCAGAGCAGGGCCAGGCAGAGCAGCTGGATGACGGTGAAGAGGTGCACCCGGCGCAGGGGGACGTGGCGGAGGTAGGGGAGGTCTGGCTGGTGCTTGGCTGGGATCAGGAGCAGCCGCACACGGTCCAGGAGCTGCAGCGAGAGGACGGCGGGTGGGTCACACACCTCCACCTCCCTGCTGGGCCCCGGGGCCGGCAGAATGGGGTTTTGCCCTCGTGTCTGCGTTTCAGCCCTCCTGCCATCTGTGCTGATGCTGGGACAGGGCGTTTGTCTGCAAGACCGGTGGTCCTGGTACCACCACCCCCCCAAGCCAGGAGGAGCACTTTCTAGGCAGACCTCTACAAAAGGACTCAAGGTGGCCTTAATGGGTTAATTGTGAGATAACAGCCCTTGATGGAACTCCCTGCATGCAGGAAACTGCTGCAGCCTCCAGAGAACAGCTCTGGGTTTCCCAGGCAGAGGGAGGGAGGGATTTTCCCAGCCTGTCCTACAAAGCAGGATAATTGCAAGGAAAATGTACTGTTTAGAGGGAAAAGTGGTGTAGATAATTCTGGAGTGGGGATTTTTTTTTCCTCTCCATGGATTTCTCAGGAGAAGAACAGAGCTGGCTCAGCAGCAGCAATGCCAAAGGACCAGCAGGTCCCCAGCTCCCAGGTGGGGAAGTCCCTGTGGCTTCAAGAGCAAGTCTGGATTATCCACTGGTCCCTCTGCTTCTCCCAAACCACCTGACCCATCAGTACACAAGTTAATCCAGCTCCTCAGCATCCCAGACACCTCCCTTTCCCTTCCCTCTGCCCCAGAAATGTCTTTTTCCCCCTCCTTGTCCTGGGCCTGGCAGGGGAGGCAGCCCCGTGCCAGGGTGCACATCTTGCAGAGCTAAAATCCTGTGGGAGCTGGTGCTGAGCAAACCCCCTGATCCCCAAAGCAGCCCCCACCAGCAGTCCCAGTGCAGCCCCCCCTCACCTGGATGCTGTTCAGCGCCGCCACCCCCATGTGCAGGAACACCCCGTACAGCACCGGCATCGGGATGTGCTGCAAGACAGCGGGATGGGGGGTCAGCGGGGCTGTTCCCTGGGGGGCTGTGCCTGCCAAGTGTCCTCTCCTGTGTAAAAGCCCCCATGTGTGTCCCCAGCCTTTGCCTCCTTCATTCCCAGCAGCCCAGCCTGCCCTTGTTGGACCACATGAAGTTCACGTGGGCCCATGTCCTCCAGAGTGCCTTTGGATGCCATCCTGTCCCTCAGGTGTGTCACTGCACCTCTCAGCTCGCTGTCACCTGCAAACGAGCTCCATCCTGCTGTCTGTGTCCTGGATGAGGATGTTAAAGAGTGTTGGTCCCAGTAGGGACCCTTACTTATTACTGGTTTCCATTTGGATGTTGGGACACTGACTGTAGGTCGCTGGACACGGCCATCCAGCCAATTCCTCATCCATCCTTCAGTTCCGCATATTTCCAGTTTGGAGATGAGAATGCTGGGGGGCCCATATCAAAGGCTGTGCAAGGGCAGCCTCAGGGGTGAGGAGAGAGGTCAAGGAAAAGGCACCTCCCACCTGCCCCCAGGTAATCCAGGGCCACTGGAGGGGCTTTTCCTGCCGTGGCAGCAGCAGCAGCAGGTGAAAACCAACAGCAGCCAGGCTGGGACCTCCATGTGACAGTGTGGAGGGTGTGGTGGGGGGTGTTTGGGGAGCACAGGGGACCCTGATGTGCATGAGGACAGTGGCCAGCTGACACATGGCCACAGTGCCTTGTGTGCTGACCCTCCTGTGGCACGGGAGCCAAATCCTTTGCCTGGCCCAAATCCTTTGCGTGGCTCCCTGCCTGCCAGCCAGGCTTCCCTGGATCGATGGAACAAGGAACCCCCCAGCCTTGCAGGATATATGGGGGAGGTCTTGGGTTAGAAAAGAGATCACAATACTAATGATACAGACTATTCAACAAACCAAAACGTGGTTGGGGACCTTTGCTCATGTTTACACTAAGATGGCAAGGTAGATGTTTAAGTGTAGTGCCATTAGTCTCCATACAGATAGATGTCAATATGCTCCTTGGTTTGGGTTTGGCATTTGCCTTCTAGTATCTTCACTAAGGATATCTGGGAATTTCTTGGGGAGTAGTATAGTGCTTTTAATTATTCCCCTGCCTAGGAAAAGAGGCCTACCCAGCATCCAGGCTCCCTACCTTCAGCACAGGGGCCATGAAGACAGAGACTCCCATCAGGACGAAGACGGCCAGGCCTGTCAGCCTCTGCTCCCTGTGTGTGGCAGTGCAGGTGTCACAGGGGTCCCTTGGGAGCCCACCCCCTTGCCTGCCCTCCTGGCTCTGGGGTCTCTGCTCTTTTCAGCTTGGATGGGCACAGGGAATGGGAGCATCCCTGGGGAGACACCGGTGTCCCCAAAGCCGGCTCTGATGGCCAGGGTGGGCATGTCCCTGTCCCCTGGCTCTGCAGCCATGGGCAAGGGGTCCCCCCAAGCGGGGCCCAGGCTCGTGTACCTGATGCCCAGGAACTTGGGGTGCTCTCCAGGGGCTGAGGTTTCACTCTCCTTCCTCAGGCTCTCCATGTGCGCCAGGGAGATAACAGTGGCCGAGACGTACCAGGGGAGGCCGGTGACAGAGGTGACAACCATCAGGAGGGAGACACAGAGGAGGTCCAGATGGAAGCCTGCTCCTTTCTGCAGGGGGAGAGGCAGCAGGGCTGGGGGTGAGCCATCTCCCCAGCAGCATCAGAGGGGCAGTGGTGGGGTCTGCCCACCCTACTGGCTGGTTTGGGGTCCCACTCTGCCCTGGCTGCTTCCACATGGCCCAGCTGGGACCTGGGTCCTTTTCCTGTCCCCTGCTCACCTGCAGCTTGTACTCCCTGCGGTTCAGGATGACGGCTGTGATCTGCTGGTCCATGAAAATGAGGATGGTGACGAGGACGGCGGGCACGGCGGACACCAGGCACACCCACCAGGGGTTGGCTCCAAAGGGGACGATGATCCAGCCCCGTGCTGGGTTTGTGGGCTGTGGGGAGCAGAAGGGTCATGGCAGCTGCCACCCACCTGTGTGTGGCACAGCAGAGTGACAGGACCAGCCCCAGGTGCCCAGGCTGGAGCTCAACAGGTACCCAGGGATGTGGAGAGGAAGAGCATCCTCCTTTATCCTGGGGATGCTCCTGGGCAGCGTGACCTACCACATCCCCTACAAGGACATGCTGGCTGTGGCAGAGCAGGGGGTTGCTCTTGGACACCACAAGCCAGGAGCTGGGCAGGTGGAGCGGGTGGAAGAGGTGGCACGGGGCAGTGATGATGGTGAGCCCAGGGAGGTGGCAGTGAGCATGGGCTGCTCTGAGCCACTGCCAGCCCCACCACACACCCAAGGCAGGGAGCCCAAGCCCAGAGGTGAGCCTGTGGCTCTTGCTCTAGTGTGAGCTGTACAGTGATGGGGTCAGTCCGGGCCTAAGCCATGCTATTTACAGAGCATGAGATCTGTTCAGCCCCTTCTCATTTGCTCATAGAGCCCACACCCCTGTAGGGCCGGAGCTGGCAGTGGGAAGGACAATGACAGCACTGCCACTGTGAGGGGCACAGCCCCATGCCCTGACAGTGCCGTGCCCACCCTACCAGCACCTTCAGCTCGCTGGGAACAAGGAGCTTGGGGGTCTCCAGGCCCAGGGCAGCATCGATGGCGCAGGAGGCGAGGATGGCCAGGATGACGGCGAAGTCGCTCACCAGCTTCCGCACCTGCACGTGGAGATGGAAAGGGTTCCTGGGATGCCTGGGGTGGGGGCTGCTCCAACAGCTTCCCCTGGAGCCATCCCCACACTGATGGGATGGGTGGCCATTCCACAGGGGTGGCAAAAGGATGCTCACACCCGCAGGGAAGTAGCGGCTGCTCCTGAAGCGCTTGAGGGCGGCGCAGGAGAGGAAGGTGCCCCCAAAGAGCAGGAAGGAGATGAGGGTGACATCGGGCACATACGGACAGCTGGTGCCCAGGAGGTGCCCGCCTCGGTCCAGGCACTGGGTCCTGCTCAGCCCCTCTGGGGTGGCGGGAGGCTGCAGGGACAGGACAGGAGGTGAGGAGGGGTCGTGCGTGGACACTTTGGGCCCACCCCGGCCCCTCTCCCACCTGCCTGGGAGCAGGGGCTGTACCTGTGGGGGGAGCAGGGGCGAGAGCAGCAGTGTGTCATTCCCTGCAGAGCTGTGACCTGCAAGGGGAAGGAGGGTCAGGGTATTGCTGGCTCCATCAGGGATGAGTGGGACAGTGCTGCCAACGGTGTGGGTCCTTAGGGTCTCCCCAAGGGCTCAGGATGCTGGGTGGGGCCCCATGGGATCCCAGAGGTCCTGGGCCTGGCTGGTGCCAAGGGAGCACCAAGGGAGGATGGACCATTGTCCCCAGGCTGGCCTAGCACTGATCCTTTTGGTGTGGGCGCTGTTTCCATGGTCAGTGTGCACATATCTTCAAGCCCCAGGAAACATTCTCTGGTTTACAGACTGGGCTAGAAACGGCAGAGCAAACCCCTCCAGCCCCTGCCATCCCCCATCCTGGAGCCACGGGAGCTCTCTGTGCTCCTGGCACTGCCCTGTCTGGTGCCAGGGCAGTTCCAGGAGGCAGGGACAGATGGACAGACCACACGGAGGGAAGTGGAAGAAGGTGCGATGTGGTCAGGCAGGTGAGGATGGGATTAAACAGCCTCCTCCACCATCTGGCCAGGCAGCAGGTTTCCAGTGGGGTCCTGGGGCAGCAGCCTCCTGCTCCCCACCCACCTTCAGCCCTTGGGCTCACCGGGGCTGGACAAGTTGCAGGTGCAGCTGTAGGAGGTGACGTTGTCCAGCCGGTACTGCCAGTTGATGGGGAAGGCGTCTGCCAGGCTCAGCATCTTCTTCAGGGAGTCGTAGATGAATATCAGGCTGATGAGTGCACAGAAGCCTTCCTCGGTGAAGCGGGTGAAGTGCCTCACCAGGTGACTGGCCTCAGTGGCCACCAGCACCACACCAAAAAAGGCCACCCAGAGCCCAATCCAGAGGCGGAACTCCAGGTAGTCCAGGCTGTGGTCCCTTGGGGGAAGAGTGACCCAAAACCTCACAACCGACACCCGCCTGCAGTGATGGTGGCCCGTGCCCCGTCCAGGGGACAGTGGCCTGAGGATCCATCCCTGCCAGGGAACTCACTGGCTGAAGGAGAAGAGGAGGCGCTCGAAGACCAGCACAGGGCCGGTGCTGCTCAGGATGGTCAGTGGTTGGCCCGAAAAGAGGCAGAAGATGAAGCCAGCAAAGGCCGTGCCCAGGAAGCTCTCCAGCACCCCCTGAAACGCAGGGAAAGGGTGCCAGGCACACAGCAGGGAGGGGGATCCTGGGCCTGTCCCTCCTAGCAGCACAGTGCAGGGTCAGTGCTGGGGGAAGGAGGAGGATTGGGGTGATGCTCAGGATGCTCCAGGAGCACTGGTGGGAGGTGGGCACCAAGGAGCCCCGTGGGCTGGGCTGAGCAGAGTTGGTGCCGGGCACCCCACGGCCGTGCTGACCTGCATGTTGGCAGTGGCATCCCCCAGCATGCCCCCGAAGGTGATGGCGTTGGTGACTGTGGCCAGGTAGATGTAGAGCACTGCTGAGAGGCACTGGGGGTGCAGCGCGTCAGAGAAATCGCTGCCGTACCACGGTGCCTTCCTGTGGATGTCTCGCAGCAGCCCCCCGAAAAGCCTGGGCCAGAGGAGAGGAGGGAGGTCTCAGAGCAGCCCCCACAGCTGGGCATCACCCCCCACACAGCCACGTGGCAAGGGATGATCCCTTCCCTGGGAAACACCAGCTCAGAGGGGCTCGGTGGCCCCGTGACAGCCAGTGCCCTGCCCCAAATCCGTCACCCACCGCCTCGTCCCTCCAGGCACCCACCTGCCCGTCCTCTCCAGCTCCTCCCCGGAGCCTGGGTGCCCTGGGCTGGCTCTGCCCCCAGCTGCTGCCATGTCCCCGTTGCCATGGGGCTGCTGGTCTGATGGGTCCACAGTGGTCCTGTGGCAGATCAGAGACTGAGACAGGCTTCAGGTTGGGACCCTCAGGGGCCAGCTGCACCTAGGGGACACTATGAGGGCAAAGGGGGGATGGAGAAGGGACAAGGGTGCCAGCAGGGTTGGGGAACATTGTGTATCTCCTGATAATGGGGAGGAGAAAGACCAGGAGGAGGAGGAGAGACTGGAGATTGGACTGGGTGATCTTTAGAGGTCCCTTCCAACCCAACCATGTTCTCCTCCGGCAAGCCCTGGAGCCAGAGCTCACAGGACTAGTTTTGTTGGAGCAGCTGGGCAGAGCCCAGGGTGTCCTGCTCAGAGGATGAGCTTCACATCCGAGTGCTGAATCCCAGCATTCCCAGCAGCTCCTTTTGAAGGGTGTGTGGGGTGGTTTTGCCACCCCCTGCCAAGTGGGACAGCAGGACTAACAGCATCAGGGACCGGAGCTGTTGTCCTTGGCCAGAGCTGCAGAGGGGCTTGGCTGGAAGGACCTCCCTGCTCCAGGGCAGCTTCATCCCCATGGAGATGGAAGTTTCAATGTCACAGGTGGGGGACCCTGGGACCCTGCAGAGGGGCTGGCAGAGGTTGGGGTGCCCTCCCCCCAGCCCACCTCCTGTGCGGAGATGACAGAGAGCTTGGCGGAGGAATTCGGGCACTGGGGTCCCATTTCCCAGGAGGAAGCACAATCAGCTCATCCAGGAACGCCTCCATCCCTGTGATGAGGTCCTCTCGGTGCTCAGCCTGCCGGGCAACCCTTTGGAAGAGCTGTGGGGAGGTGCTGTGGTTTAGCCACCATGGCTCTGTGTTCAGCCCCTCGGAGCCTTCCTTCCACCCTGCAGCCTTCACCGAGGAACAAACCCACCCACTTCAGTGCAACCAGTGCCCTACATCCTACAGACCCACCCCAAACCTTAGTTTTCTTATCCTAGGCAAGGGAAACCACCAGTTCACCCCATCCTCTGCCCTCTGCTGCAGCCTGCAGAGGAGAAGAGCCCTGGTGGCACCATCCCAGCCCATCCCAGTCATGGGTGCTGCCTCAGGCTCACCTCATCCATCAGCAGTGTGGCCATGGCCCTGCCAACCTCGTGGTAGGCTTTCGCTTTGGGGGGACCCAGCAGGATGAAGAGGAACCTGTGGGTGGGACAGCACAGCTCTGTAGCAGCCCTCTGCTCCCTGGGGGATTCTTCTCCCAGGGGAGACTGTGGGGATGCTGGGGACAGCAGCTGGCCAGGCTTGGAGGGCTCCTGCCACCTTAAGGGGTGACCACACTAAGAGGGTTGCCACTGCATGGAGAGCCCACAACATGGGATGCCAGGACCCCACTGGATCACAGGGTCTGCAGGAACCGGGGCTGGGGGGGGTGGTGGGAGAGGTCTTTGGGGCAGAGGAGGAGACAGCCTTGGCTGGGGGTGTCTGTGGGATCAAGGTCTTGGCTGGGGGTGTCTGTGGGATCATGATCTTGGCTGGGGGTGTCTGTGGGATCAAGGTCTTGGCTGGGGGTGTCTGTGGGATCATGCTCCTGGGAATGTTGCTCGCAGGCAGGATGCAGGAGTGTTAGGGAAGGAGAGCCTGCTGGCAGCATGGGCAGCAGGTTTGACGGGACTCTGGAGACATGGGAGGAGACTGGGAAGAGAGCTCAGGGTCCTTGATAAAATATGGTGAAAATCCCACACCTCAGAGGATGGTGCAAACTAATGAGGTCTACAGAGGGACAGTCCAGCCAAATGTTTCACCAAGCCCTCCCCTCCTTTCCAAAACTGGCAGAAACAGGGTTACAATCCTGGAACCCTGAGGCTGCCGAGAAGTTCCAGGACACTACCCTGAGCAAACCTCCAGAGAGAGGGCAGGGAAACTCCTCCAGCAGCATGAGTGGGGTTGAGTGGGGCTCAGCAGAACCTGCTGCAGCCCTGATGTGGGGCTGGAGGTCCCCCGGAGCCTGCTCCAAGGGGATGGGAGGTGACAGAAGCCACCCGGGATTGCTGTCACTCGGGCATCTGCACTACTATATTGATGTGAAAACCTTAAAACCTTGGAGATGGACTTGAGAGGGAGACAGCCCCAAGGTGGTGGCTGTGCCATTGGAACAGCCTGGCACCAAAGGGGATGGTACCATGGGCAAAGGGATGGGTAGGGACGAGCTGTCTCTACCCTCTCGTTTGAGGGGGGGAAATTCAGGGCAAGGAGCTGACATGAGACCCGCGGGGACCTGCCACCCATCTGCCACCGAGGACAGAGCGGCAGGTGGGTGGATGTCCTGCTCCTCCCAGCTCCTGCAGGACGGGTGCTCTGGGCAGAGTGACCAGGAGGTGGCAATGTCCCTCCTGATCCCCGCCTGCCTCCTCCGCGCCCTCCCTAAGGAAGTGCCCAGCTGAAGAGACACACTCTCATTTACTCTCACAGCTGCGTTCCTCAGCCATGGGGGAACACCTCTTTTCCTGCTTCTTTCCCCTCACCCCGTCCCACTGCTCAGGAGAGCGTCGTGGGCAGCGGGAGGGCAAGAGACTCCTGCGAACCTGCGTCCCGCCGCCAGCCCCGTGCTCCCGGCAGTAAGTGGAGAGCATCCAGAGCCTCCTAAGGACAGGGAATGCAGACCCCAGATGGGGATGACCCAGGGGATGTCCTTCTCGGGCTGCCCAACAGATACTCCGCTCTCAGCCCATCCCGAAATGCTCCTAAGGAGCTGGGAAAAGCCGGAGGGGAAGCACTGAGGCAGGATTCTGGGACTGTATGTGGCGCTGGCTGCAATTCCCTTTGCTTTGGCCAAGCAAAGCCCTGTGTGGTGCGGGAGGGAATGGGAAGACAGGGACAAAGAGGGAACAGGGGCATGGGCCGTGCTCTGTTACCTGCTGGGGAGAGCAACTTCAGCCAGTGAGCCGAGGGACACCCCGTGCCTGAGGCGAATGAAGGCAGTGACGGGCTTCTCCAGGAATTCCACTTCACCGACAGCAACGTGAGCAGCTTCAGCTCCCGGTGGGACCTTCTTCCTAAAGCGGTTTCTCAGCTGAAAGGAAAGGGATGCAGTGGCTGGGCACCTGGGATGCAGCAGCTGCTCCCAGCCCAGCTCCGTCCTGCCTTACCTGCTCCTTAAGAGGCGTTTTGGAGAGCTGGGCTCCGGGCTCAGACCTGCCTTTGGCCTTCTCTGCAAAGAAAGGGAGGAAACCATTCCTGCAGACCCACACGTGCAAGTGAACAGGCAGTGTGGGCACTGCCCTGGGCTGGTGGCACTGGAAGGGTTCCTGGTGGGATACCTCGGCAGGGAGAGAGGGTGAGCTCGGCGAGGAGCTGCAGCAGGGATTTTGTGGGCTGGTGCCGTGGCTGGAGGAGCAGGAGGGCTGTCAGGCGTTCCCTCAGCGCAGGCTGCAGCTCTGCTTCCTCGGGATGCCCAGAAAGCACCTTGTCTGCAGGAACAGGGACAGCCCTGAGTCCCCCTGCTTGGCTGCCCAGGGAAAAGCTCCCTTAGCTGGAGCAGCAGCCACGGCAGATGCCCGGCTGTCATTCACCAGTGCTGTTCTACAGGCACCTCCTGGTGGCCTGTCCTTCTCCAGGGACCAGCCCATCCCAGGAGATGACTTCTGCATTACCCATGTACCGATTATTTCCTTGAAACTGGCGGCATCCAGATCCAGGAGCACCGTCCCCTTTTGCAGGCATGTCCTCAGCTGGAAGAGGCTGTGCAGGGGGAGGGCTGGGACGTGGGGTGTGCTCCAGCGCTCCCCGCCATCCTCCACCTTCTCCTCGAACTTTATCCACCTGCCCCAGGGAGATGTGCAGGGTCAGCAGCAAGGCAGTTCTGTGTCCCGTGCCAGGCAGTGGGAGCTGGACCCTGTGTCCATCTCTGAGCTTAGCAAGGGGTTTGGGGGGCCCAGAGGGGGCTGCAGTGGGTTCATACAGCAGGGGCAGGTGGGCAGCCAAGGTGGTCACACCTCCATTCCTGCAGACCCACACTCCGCTCCGATCTGATCAGGGGGATTTCAACAGTCATGGGATGACAGAATGGTTTGGGTTTGAAGGGACCTTGGAGCTCATCTTGTTCCAACCCCTCTATCATGGGCAGGGACACCTTCCACTAGACCAGGTTGCTCCAAGCCCCATCCAACCTGGCCTTGGACAATTCCAGGGATGGGGCAGCCACAGCTTCTCCTGGCAACCTGTGGCAGGGCCTTCCCATCCTCACAGGGAAAGATTTCTTCCCAATATCCCATCTAAGCCTGCCCTCTGGCAGTGAGAAGCCATTCCCCCTTGTCCTGTCACTCCAGGCCCTTGTCAAAGTCCCTTTCCAGCTCTCTTGGAGACCCTTTAGATATTGGAAGGGGCTCTGAGGTTTCCCTGGAGTCTTCTTTTTCCAGGATGAACAACCCCAGCTCTCTCAGCCTGTCTCCATAGCAGAGCTGTGCCAGCAGAGCTGTCCCAGCCCTTGGATCATTTCCATGGCCTCCTCTTGAACAGGAGGTGGATGTGATGTCCCGGGGGGGTCTCACTGGAGCAGAGCAGGGGAGGAGCACCCCCTCCTCACCCTGCTGCCCACACTGCCACGGTGCAGCCTGGGATACACTCTGCTCTGTGGGCTGTGAGCACACAGTGCCGGGTGATGTCCCATCTGTCACCCACCAGCATCCCCCAGTCCTTCTCCCCAGGGCTGCTCCCAGCCCACCCACCCCCTGGCTGCGCCGGGACTGGGGGTGGCCCTGCCATTAGCAGCGCTGGCTGGAGTCAGAAAAGAAGTGTTTTGAGCTGTTTCCACCCTCAGGCCATGCCAAATATTTTAACGCCGGGCACAGACAGAGCTTCCCTTTGTCCCCCGGGGTGGGCGCGCTGCCGCGGGGCGCTCGCCGTGCTGCACGGGGAGAGCGTGCCCGGCGGGGCGGCCGTGCGGGGAGAAGGGGGCTGGGCAGAGCCACAGCCCGGCGGATTTGGCACCCCCCCACAGACTCTGCGACCCCGGGGGAAGACGCATTGCTGCTCCCAGAGCCCCGTGGCCCGAGTCCCTGTGCCCCTGCCGAGCAGAGGAGGGGTGCTGTGGGGTACGGGACATCCCAGCCCCGGCGCAGCTGCTGGAGCCCTGGAAAGGCAGCAGGGAGGAGCAGGAGGAAGGGCGCTGTGCCCGCGCAGGGTCACTGCCCGCCCTGCCTGACACCCTGCCCTTTCCCATGAAATGAGTCAGCCCAGCGCGGGCACCGGAGCCCTGCTTTGGGGACGAGGCTGAGGAACCACCGGCTTCGGGGGATGCCCTGGGCTCCAGCTGAGCTGGAAGGTTGGACTCCCATAGCGTGGCCCTCGCGGGTTTGCCTACCTGGCCATCTCCCTCCACTCCAGCCCCTCTGGGGTGCTGAGGAGCTGGTTGAGCTGGATGAAGAGCAGCGGGCAGGTGACATCCCCCCCATCCTGCTGCGGGGCAGCACCATCTCCTCTGGCCGCTGGGGCCATCCTGGAGGGGAAGATGCTGCAGCCCAAAGCCTGGGAGGGAGCTCCGGGGTTGCTCCAGTCTGGTCTGGGTTGTGAGCAGGTCCCTGCCTCCTGGAGAGCTGTGCCACCTGCCCCGGGCATGTGGGCTTGCACGGCCACCGGCACCAGCAGCTGCAGGCCTGGGTTCCCTCTGGCACTCACAGGATCCCACTCATCCCACACCTTATAAAAGCTGTGAACTGGTTTAAACTGGCCACAAACCAATACACAGGAGCCAAGCCCAAAACAAACACCTCAAAACAGCAGGGTCAGCCCCACGGGACCCTTTGTGGCTGGGTCCTGCCACATCCAGCTGCCCACCTGGACCTGGGATCAGGGGACCCACCTGCCTGCTCTGGGTGATCCACATGGACAAGGCTGTTCCTGGGGAGTAGCGTGTCCCCAGTCCCACCTGCACCCTGCAAGGCATTGCTGAGGCGATGGCAGGGCCAACCCTGAAGAGTTGGTTGCAGCACCAGTGACTTTGCCAGGGTGCTGCGCAGCTCTTCCTTAGGAAAGCGGATGTGGGGACATGGTTGGGGAAGGATGTGGCACCACTGAGCAAATCCAGAGCAGGGGAGTAAGGATGTGATGACAAGGGCCAGGAGAGTGTCAGGGCTGACAGAGGGCACCTGTGTGGGCTGTGGTGGGGGAGCAGATAGATGTGGTCACAGCCACAGCACCCTGCCAGGGATGGGGAGATGGCAGGGCCACCATCACCGTGACAGCCCCCTCGGCCCTCTGCAAACAAACCACGGGGCTGTGTGCAGTGCAAACACAGTGGCAGGACCACAAACAGGACCACAAACACCCGCAGCACCGGCACGGGCAGGCTGTGCTGGAGCCTGCTGGCGCTGGCAGGATCTGGCCCAGGAGCAGCTGGAGCAGGGCCAGGCACCACCACAGCAGTGTTACATTTTGGGAGAGTGCAGAGGGTGGGCACGTGAGTCCCTGGGGTTCTGGTACCTGCCTTACAGGAGCTGAGGCCAAGGATCAGGCCCTGGGTGCCCACCAGGCTGTTTGCTCCATGATACTGGTGGGTGCCATGGTGTGTGGAGTGGTGCCCTTGGCCAGGGTGGAGGACACAGGGAGACCCCTGGCAGCAGGACATGTGGTTGAGGCACCCAAACCTTCCCAGGTGTTAGCCCCCCACCTCCTGTGGGGGCTGCCCCAGCATAGTCCCCTGGCATAAGATTGGGCATGGCTGGCAGCAGGTGCAGGCAGGGAGGCTGTGAGGGGCTGCAGGAGGTGGGCAGGGGTCATGGGAGGCTCTGGGAGGCAGAGGCAGGGGGTAGAGAGCAGAGGCAGGCAGCAGAAGGCAGGCAGGATTGGCAGCCTGCACATCCCCCCCCCTTTGCCCGCTGCCAACCCTCTGTGCCAACAGCCTCCCTGGCTGCTGACGTGAGCCGGTGCCTCCCTCTCCGGAGGTGCCAGGTCAGCTGGCAAATGCTGCCGGCACACGCCACCTGTGCACGCCTCGCCTGGCCCTGGGGATGTGGTGGGGGACTGGCAAGGGCAAAAATCCCATCTCCATTCAGGGACCGGGATCCAGGGTGCAGGGCTGCCCAGGGACACAACCCCTCACCCAGGCCACCCCCTCGTTCTGCTGTCGAAGGCTCTGGGCTGCTGATGGCCAGAGGAGGCGGAAGGAAAAACATCCCGCAAACAATTGCAAAAGTCAAGTCTGAGCAAGAAGAGGAGGGCGTGAGCAGGGGGGTGCCAGATCCGGTGGTATTCCTTGGAGACACCAACAACAATGGAAGGAATATTTTGCTCGTGCCTTGCTGAGCCCAAACCAGCCATGGGCTGGGGGCTTGGGACCTCGAGGAACCAGCCAGGGGCCATGGCCAGCCTCAACGGGAGCCAGGGCAGGACCCTGCATTTGCCCAGCGCTGGTGTCAGTGGTGTTTTTTTGGGCTGTCACCTGGGCTGAGGGTTGGGCCAAACACAACACATGGTTGCCAGTGCAGTGAAGGGGACAGGGAAGTGCTGGCAGTGCCCATGCACAGAGGGCTGGGATGGGGATAAGGATGGCTGAGGGGGGATTGTGAGATGAGGCTGTGATGCTATCAGTTACAGGAGCCCTATAAGGGCACAAAGGTGCCTTGGGGACAGAAAGGGTCTCTGCTACCACCTCTGGCTGCCACCACCTCCCATGTGCAGGATGGCGCATGGATGGCAGTCTGTCCCCTGTCAGGGCCAGGAGGAGGTGCAGCCCTGCACCCTGAGGTCCTGCCTCTCACCCGATGCTCCTCCTGCGAAGTGCAGTCGCTCCCCTGGCACCCCCGGCCCATCCCAGGCACCCGTCCCGTCAGCCGGGGCTTGAGGCCAGGGGGCGCGCCGGGACCCCCCTCCTCTGCCCCTGCCTGAGGCCACGCTTTCCAGTCACAGGAAAAGGCTGGAAAGGCTGTGTCCCTCGGCCATCGCCTGCCCTCTGCGCCCTGCAGGGACCCTGCGACTCCCAGGCTCCCACCGCCCACCAGCACAGGGGCGGCGGTGGCCGGTCAGGTCCTGTCCTCTCCGGGAGCGAGACCTCACCGAACCCTGGCCCTGGTCCCGTCCCCGGCCAGCGGAACTCCCCCTCGGGGGCGGTGGGGAAGCCCTTCCCGGGGGCGGAGCGGCCGGACAGCCCCTCCCCGCCCCGCCCCGCCGCCCGCCGCCTTCTACCCGGCGCGGGGCCGCGCTGCCGGAGAGCGGGCACCGGAGCGGGGCCGAGCGGAGCGGGACAGGGGCTGGACGCGTGTGCCCGCGGGTCATGGACGGGCGGGCGGTGCTGATCCACGCGCTGCTGGCGGCAGGTACGGACACGCGTGGGGACGGCAACGGGTCCCAGTGCCGGGCTCTCCTGGAGGGTCCTGGACACGTGTCGGGAAATGGTCCTGGGCAAGCGCGGTCCCGGGCGAGGCTGCGGTCCCGGGTGGAGGGTCCCCGGGTGTGAGCAGACGGGAAGATCGGTCCCGGTCGCGCGTGGGGAGGAGGAGGTGTCCCGGGCAGGGCAGTGTGAGTGAGCTGTCCCATCTGACCGCTGTCCCCGCAGTGTGCTCGGCGGCGGCGGGCGGGCTGCGCCGGAACGAGCTGCACAACGAGGTGCTGCACAAGGGCGGCGGCGGAGGGGGAGCGCCGGTCCCGGCCACGGCCCCGCTGCTCGGCGGCAGCCCGGAGAAGGAGGGCGGCGGAGCGGCCTCGGGGGACGACTTCAGCGAGCTGCCGAGAGGTAGGGACGGGGGGTCCCGGGGCGGGAGGGGTCTCAGGACGGGTGTGCCGCGATGGGGAGGGGGTCCTGGGGCGGGCTGAGCAGGGGGACTCGGAGGCGCCAGGCTGTGCTCGGCTCGGCTCGGCTCAGCCCCGCGGGTGCCCCGGCGGCAGCTCCGGCTCTGCTTTGGAGGGCGCTGCGAGGAGGGAGTTCCCGGGTACCGAGCGCCCGCGGGAGCAGCCACGAGTCGGGCCAGCGCATGGGGCTCCAGCACAGAGCAGCGGCACTTGTGCCGGAGGCTGTCGGGGTCCCAGGGGTCCCGGGTCCCAGCTCGGTGGTCGGTGGAGGCAGAGCCCCTCGGGGGGGCTGTGCCCGGGGACCCGCGCTGCCCTCCCGCCGTGACTCACCGCCGCCCACGCTCGGCTGCTCCTCATTCCGCGGCAGGGCTCGTCAGCCGGCACGGGGGCGGTGGGGGCACTGCCACTCTGCGGGGCTCCCGGGCTGGCACCCGGGCTGGCACGGGGCTCCTCCCACCGGGGCTGACACCGGAGAGTGTCCCGGGGACTCTCATGGGGGTGGGACGGGGCCCATCGCTGGCTGGGGGCGTTGACACGTACCTGTACCTGTGCCTCGAACACGCGGCTCGCCGAGGGCAGTACCTGACACCAGGAGTGTGCTCTGCCCCGTACAGCTCACCCTCGTTTTCCCGTGTTTTACTTTGCTTTCTGGCTGTGCCAGGAGACTGTGACCAACTGGGCTGAGCTGCTCACACCGAGGGGACGCAGCCCCCTGGGAAAAGCAGGTGTCCTCCCGCTGGGAGATGTTCCAGCCTGTTCCTGTGCATCCCCCAAGGAGGGGACTCTGTCCTAGGGCAAGCGATCTGGTGGGCCTGGGCTGACCCCCGGCTGAGGGGCAGGCTGGGAGGAACGGGAGGGTTTGGTGACTGTCGGAGCACTGTCTCGATGCCTCGAACTGAGCTACGGTCAGAGAGATCTGCCCCCTGTGTGAAGGCACCTTCCCCAGGGTGCCTGAGCAGGGGAAGAGAGGCAGCACCCCCTTCCTACCTTGGCTGGACCGCTTTTCCTACCGACAAGACCTTCCCAACTTTCTCTGGCTGTCCAAGGGCAGAGCCCCGGGGAGGGGGAGTGGCAGTGGGGGTCAGCAGCACTGTGTGTCTGCTGGCTGTGTCCAGGAGATAACCTGCCGGGCCGGGGATGGAACAGCCTCGTCCGGGGGTTTTTCCAAGCCGCAGAGTTTCCTGGAGTATCGGTTTTCTCCAGGCACAGTGTGAAGGATGTCGAAATAACTTCACTAGGTGTGCAACCGGTGTGTGCCAGCATGGGAGGCCCTGGTTCCGTCAGGAGCCAGGAAGTGGCTGAGAAGGAATTGAGCAGGTTACAACTTGTCAGGTTGGACTCTGCTGCCCTCTCCTTCCTGAGCAGCCCAGGGCTTAGTGCACCTTTCCCAGAGATACCAAGTGGTGGTTTGGGAGGAGCTAAAAAATCCCCCTTGGACCAGCGAGTGCTCTCTAGCGTCTCAGCACCTTTTGAGGTCAGGCTGGGAGCTGATTTTTTTGGGCACCTGCACATCTTAAAAACCATTCCAGTACCGTTGCTAGTGTTAGGCTGTGTCTGAGCAAGGAGCTTGGTGCTCCAGTTCCCACCAACCCAGCAGGGAGCTGGCCTGGCACCAAAAACCACTGGTCACTGCACCACAATTAAAACATACCATTGTAATTCATGGGAACGCTTCCCTACCCACCTCTTTGGCTCTGCAAAACCAAAACTTAAGCCAGGCTTGCTCTTTTATTCCTGCCTTGGGGTGAGCAAGGCATCCTTGTGCCCACGGGAAGGAGACTCCATTACAGCCATGAATAGGGTCTTAGAAAAGCCTGCGCTCATCAGGGAAGTAAAGGCCAGATAAAGGGGTAATTAGCAACGTTCTGTGTTCAGTGGAAACTGGTGCATATAATAGCAGCATTTGAGATGTATAAAGCTCTGTTCCCCCTGCCCGACTCCTTTCTTTCCTTGAGAATTGTTCTTATGAATCAGAAAGGCCATGATATTTGTGAGGAGCTGAAAAAAATGCCTTCTCCCCCTTCTCTCCCGGGCTCGGGGGCTCGGGGGCAGCTCCCGGCACAAAGGGCAGTGGGAGCCAAGGCTGAGCAATTGCAGCAGTCCCGGGATGTGGCTCTGCCTTCCCTCCGGCTGGCACGTGGAGCTGGTCTGACTGCCCTTCTCTCCTTCCCAAATTGTTTTCCAGTTGCCTTCCTGTCAAAGCCTCAAGGTTTGGTCACTCCCAAGAAGAAAGGGAACGGCAATAAAAGAAGAAAAGGCAAAGGCCTGGGGAAGAAGAGAGACCCGTGCCTGCGGAAGTACAAGGATTTCTGTATTCACGGCGAGTGCAAGTACATCCGAGAGCTGGGAGCTCCCTCCTGCATGTGAGTTGCTGGCGTGTGCCTGTGCCGGGGGAGCCTTAGTCACGGTTCCTTCAATTCTCTGGGCCGGGCAGAGGAAAAACGGACAGGATATTTTTAGTGCATGTTCTCTGTCTGTGCGGGGACAACTATGACTTGGCCTCTTCCTTGTGCTTCTTGAGCAATGTCCATGCCCCACCAAAGCCTGTCGTGGCCCTGGATCCAGCATTCCCTGCTGGCACGGCGAGCTGCGGCTGAGCTGCTGTGCAGAGACCTGTGGTGCTGAGGGCTGCAGAATGGTGGGCGGGGCTGGAGTCTGGCAGCTGAGGGCTTCTGCAGGTCTGGTTTGGGAGACCTCATCCTGACCCTGTCACCCTGCACCCCCCACTCCGAAAGCTTAGGGCTCCTGCGGCTGTTGGGGTGCACTGGTGCAGGCGGGATGAGCTGCTGTAGCACCAGTGAGGAGGACTGGAGGTAGCACCTTTGGGGACAGCCTGCCAAAGCCATGCCCAAGCTGTCCCTTGGCCTGATGAAGGACAGGGCTGTGTACCCCCGCTTACCTATGCCCCTGGGGTACAGGTAGAGAGAAGGGACTAGATGAGGCAAGCAGAGGAGAAAGCATTTTCCTGCTGCTGGGACACCTTGATACAGGACTTGCTACCACAGGAAATACCCAGGGGTGCACATTTGATCCCCGCTTACGTGGGCAGGAGTTGAGCTGGCAGATATGTAAGAGGCTTTGTTCTTCACTATCAATCCTCTGAGCCACCCAGCCCTGAGCCCAGGGAAGATAATAGCTCCCTGGCTTATGGTGCCCACAGGATCTCATGCCCTGCAATCCGCAGGGATTGAGCTCTGCATAGCTCCTCTAGTCCCCTAGTTTCTCTCTGTGGAAGCTGCCATGAAGTTGAGTCCTTGCATGGGGGACTTGGGACTGCCAGTGAAGGGAGATCTCTGCCGACTCAGTTTGTGTTGGTGACCCAGCAGAATGTGGGGTGCAGAACCCCTGCTTAGGACTGGGACAGCCAAGATCCCTGGGACTGGAGAGAACCTGGGGCACGGGCAAGCAGGAGGGATTTGGGGGTTGGCTGGGCTCTGCAGCCTGGTGGCCCATCCCTGGGTGACATCTCCCAGAGCCATCATGGTTTTTAGGAACAGTGGCCAACTGTTCCTAAAGAGGCCTCACGTTGACTGGTGTCACTAAGTTGTGGCTGCTCTTGGTGGCTGACTGCCTATGTCACAGGGTCTCTTGGAGTGTTCCCTCCTTGGGCTGGTCCCTGGGGATTGGGGTGCAGTGAGGATGCTGCTGGGCTGGGTTCTGCACCTCTGACTTGTGTGCAGCCTTGCTGCTGTGCCTGGGAGGTAACGCTGGTATGTGCCATTATGAGCTTGGGAGGAGGGCTGGGCTAAACCCGGCTTGGACATCAGCCCGAGGGTCAGTGGTGCTGGATATAGAGGGATATATATATCTGGTCACATCAGTGGGCTGTGGCTTGGGAAGGGCTGGAAGCCTCACAGCCCTGTGGGGAGCGTTATTTCTGTTCCATGAGTAACCTCCCGAGTCTGCAGGGACGGGGCACCTCTCGGCTGTCAGGGTGTGCAGGGACATCCTGCTCCATGGGAAGCACTGGATCAGCTGCCATGCTGCTCCCTTCCTACTTCCAGAGGTGGTCTGGGCAGCCTGGCTCTGCCTGGGAGGGACTGGCAGGAGACAGACCCTGGTGCCTTCTGCTGGTGTAGAGTTTAACCTTCCTAGGAGTCTTCGCTTGGTGCAGGAGAAACTTAATTTACCAGTACCAGGGAGAGATACCGCCTTCCAAGGGGTGTGGGGGACACAATGACCTCCTGTGCTTGCTCACCACCAACCTTTGTGACTTTCTTTCTCGCCCAGATGCCAGCCAGGGTATCACGGAGAGCGCTGCCACGGCCTCTTGCTGCCGGTGGAGCACCCGCCCAGCGCGTACGACCACACCACGGCTCTGGCCGTGGTTGCTGTTGTCCTGTCCTCCCTGTGTCTCGTCATCATCGCAGCCCTGCTGATGCTCAGGTGAGTGGGACAGGGCTGAACTCTCGGAATCTGCGTCCCTGGGAAGATCACGCGCAAGAGGAGGGTGGCAGGGACCTCTTGCCCTGAGCATCCCTTTGCTTGGCCTCGCAGGTGTCACAAGAGGGGTGGCTACGATGTAGAAAACGAAGAGAAAATCAAGCTGGGCATCACTGTGAATCACTGAGGATGCCGGGTGCTGGCGAGGTGAGCCCCTGGCTGGGCACGGGGCAGCAGTGGGGCTGGTGGACATCTGGGGGCTCTGCTGTTCACGCTGGCTGGGACTGCTATGTGGATCCCGTGCCAGAGCCAGGCAGGAGTGTTGAAGGCAGCCTAAGCCTGGAGAAGCAGCTGGCTGGATTTGGGCAGAAAGCTTGGACTGCCGTGCGGGGCTCCAACCCTCTTATCTCACCTTCCTGCCCAAGTCCCTGTTCTCTGACTCCTTCATTCCTCCTACCTCCTCCTTTCTAGCCCCAAGTCCCTGCTCTGCCCCAGTGCTCCGTGCTTTGGGGATGTTTGGCAGTGGGGAAGCTGCTTCTGTTTTGGTTTTTTTTTTTCCCACTTGTTCTGCTCCCTCTCTGACCCTCTGAGTCACTTCCCCTCCTTAGATATTGCTTCTATTTATACATATGTGTAAAAAACCCCTTTCCTTTTCACTCCCACTCTGCTTATTACTTGCAGCAGAGCAAGTAATGGTCTTGCAGCTGGGGCACAGGGGATCTTGCTGCCAGCCCATGCCATGTTCCTCTGGCTGGCTGGGTGGTGGGTGAGGGGTGTGCTCTACTCCAGGGGTGGCTGCAGGGCTGGGTGCTGAAAAGCTGTCAAACTTCCTCTGGTCTGATCCAAACCCTGACGTTAGATGTGGCCATACATATCACAGCTCCTTGCCTTCTTAAAAAAAAAAAAAGAAAAAGTCATTGTTCTTTGTAAAGATGAAGTAATGCCTTCGGAGAATTTCTGTCGTGTTCGTCACAGTGCTGGGAGTGGGATTTTGAGCTGTTCATTGGAGCTGAATTTTCGTGAAGGAGACTCAGAACAGGGCTTTCCTCACTGTCCCATTTGCCCTGGGGGAAAAGTGCCGTGGTCCCTGGAAGGGAAGCAGGGTGGACACAGGGTGGGATGTTTGCCCACCTCTCCTGGGTGTGCTGGCTCCCATCCTCCTGGGCGCAGCCCCGAGACGCAGCGAGTGGCAGCTGGGGCTTGGGCGGGTGCGAGGGCTCTCCTGCCGGGCTGGGTGGGACTCGGCACCTTTACTCCACCGTGCTCTGTGGGCAGAGCAGCCCAGGACCGTGTTGTGAGCTCTCCCGCCTCTCTCTTGCAGGGGTCGGCACTAATAACGCACTTCTACCTCCTGGAAGAGGCGAGACCAGCGGGGCTGCGGCACGTCGGGGGCTCGCTGGAGCACCAGGACGGCACCCGCGACGGGGCCGCTCGGGCAGCGGCGGCACTGCAGGAGCTTCGTGGCCACCTCCGGGGACGGGGCGGGCTCGGGGGTGAGAGGGACCGGCTGCCCGGCGGCTCTCCGTCCACTGCAGTGCCGAGGAACAAACTGTGAAAGGGAGGAGACACCGGGCTCGGGGCTTCCTTCGCCGCAGGAGGGAGGGGGGGGAGGGTAACAGCTATTTAACAAGATATTTTTCATTTTAAATTATCTATTTATTTTAGATAAACTGTACATAGTATTTATATTTATTGTAGGTCTGGCCCTGCATCCTTCGTGTAGGTTCAAGGTGACAGGGGTCAGACCTCCCTTATTTTTTAAGTGCAATGTAATATTCTAATAAATAACACTTTGTAACAAATGCTTGGGTTGTTAATTTAATGATGGAGGTGGAAAGGATTCAGGATTCTGAAGGCCTTCCTGGTGGGGTACTGCCAACAGCAGCAGAGAGTGTGTAGTGTAGGCTGATGGATCAACTTGTGCCATCCCTGGGGAGCAGTGTGGTCTGAGGAGCTGGGGGTAGGATCCATCCTCTGCAGCCAGGACAGCCCCATGGGGATTTTTTTTGAGATTTGCTTCATCTTTACCAGCTGATGCCCTGGGGGGGTGTGTGATGTTTGTGTGTCTGCTCACCAAGCAAAGCTGCCTCCAGTGTGAGTGAAGCCACTCTGGCTGCTGACCCATTCAAATGGGATTGGTTCCTGGTTTTAAGCTGGCACAAGTTGCTCAGAGAAGCTGTGGCTGCCCCATCCCTGGAAGTGTTCAAGGCCAAGCTGGATGGGACTTGGAGCAACCTGGTCTAGTGAAAGGTGGACTGGATGATCTTAAAAGTCCCTTCCAACCAAATAATTCTATCATTTGGCAAAGAAGAAGCCAGAGGTGGACTCACACCTTCCTTGTAGGGGATCCCAGCTGTCCCTGGGGCCACTGCAGGCTCCTGGGGCTGGAGTCATTCCATCCACAAAGCATCACTTCAGATGACGGCTCAGGAGCAATTCATGACTTTGCAGTAAGAGTAACCTCAAGCCACTTCTTTCCTCTTCCCTGTGGGGAGCTGAGATTAGGGACAGATGCTGGCTCTGGTAGAGAGCTTTGAGGCAGCCCCTGCAGGCGTGGAACTCCAGTCAGCAAAGGGGAGAGCTGAGCTGCTGCTTTCCACCCCTCCTGCAGTGTTCGCTAAAGCCGAGCAGTGAGTATTCTGCAGAGATTTTTGGACTAATTTACCCAAACCTGAGCTCTGACAAAGTATGAAATAATCCCTTCCCCAGTAAGCATAAAGGGTGCTTAGAAGGTGTGTATGTTTATCCCTCTTGTGCAGCTGTTTTTTGTGGTGACAAAGCTTGGGCTGTGGGAAGGAGGAACACAGCAATACTTGAGCTTTCCAGTACTTGTTGTGATGAGGCTGAAGGACACAGCTGTGACCAAGGGGGAGTGACCAGGGTGTTGTGGTCTGGAGAGTTAAAGCCTCAGCAGCTGCAGTGACCCAGTCCCAGAGTCAGAGAAATGAGTTACTGACTGCGCAAATGTGACTTTGTGCTGTGGCGATGCCAGTTTGACCAGAGACTCCAAACTTTGGTCTTTTTCAAAGTCTATTAAGGAAATAATGCCCCCGACTGCTGTGCAGGAGGCCCTTCTGCCCCAGGGTTGTGCCCCTGCCTCACTGTGCTGCTGCTGCTTCTCGCCTTCCCAGAGCTGCTGTAGTCCTGCAGCTTTTCTGCCTTTGCCAGTGGGCAGCTTCACTTGCCTGGGGCTCCACAGCATCCTGGTGGGAATAGCTCTGCTGGAAGGTGTCTCAGCAGATAGTTGGAACTTGTGCCCAGAGCCCAGCTGCTCTCTGCCCTCCTCCCCACAGGGACATGTCCTGCCCCTGTGCAGGTTGGGCTGCCCACAGGTGGAGATTTAACAGGCCAAGAGGTGGCAAACATGCTTTGGAGATGTAGGGAAGCTGTCTGGATCAGTGGGCTGGCTCCCTGTGCCCCACTGGGCTGGGAAAGGCTGGCAGTCCTAGAGATGCTCCTTTTCATTGCACTTGCTGTCCAGCATCTTTGTTGGAGACACGGACAGTTGGGATCAGGGGCACACTCAGCAAGTTTGCTGATGACAAGGAGCTGTGTGGTGCAGTCACATGCTGGAGGGAAGGGGTGGATCCAGAGGGATTTGGACAGGCTGCAGAGGTGGGACCATATGAACCCATATGAATACATAATGTCCTACACCTGGGTCGTGGCAATCCCAGGCACACCAACAGGTTGGGAGGAGAAGGGATGGAGAGCAGCCCTGTGGAGAAGGACTTGGGGGTGACAGTTGATGAAAAGCTCAACATGCACCAGCAGTGAGCACTCACAGCCCAGAAAGCCAACGGGGTCCTGGGCTGCATCCCGAGGAGTGTGGCCAGCAGGTCAAAGGAGGGGATCCTCCTCCTCTGCTATGTACAGTTCTGGTGTGCCCAACATAAGGAGGACATGGAACTGTCAGAGCAAGTCCAGAGGAGGCCACTCTGGGCGTTGATAAGGGGATTGGGGCACCTCCCCTATGAAGACAGGCTGAGAAAACTGGGGCTATTCAGCCTGCAGGAGGGAAGGCTGAGTGGAGACCTCACAGCACCTTCCAGGATCTGAAGGGGTCTATGGGGAAGTCGTGAAGGGACTCTTTGTCAGCAACTGTAGTGACAGGACAAGAAGTAATGGGTACAAACTGAAAAAGGGGAGATTTAGGTTAGATACACAGAATAAATTGTTTATTGTGAGGGTGGGGAGGCCCTGGCACAGGTTGCCCAGAGAAGCTGTGGCTCCCCCATCCCTGGAAGTGTCCAAGGCCAGGTTGGACGAGGCTCAGAGCAACCTGGTCCGGTGGAAAGTATCCCTGCCCATGGTGAGGGGATGGGGCTAGATGGTCTTTAAGGACCATTCCAACGCCGTCTCATTCCGCGATTCCAAGGCAGGGAACGGCTCTGCCTCTCCGGGGAAGCCCCGGCCGGTCCCTCAGGAGCCGCCGGAACCGCCTCCTCGCCCCGCGCATGCGCCGTGCGGGGACAAGATGGCGGCGCCCGTGGACCTGGAGCTGAAGAAGGTACGAGACCCCCGCTCGTGTGTGTGTGTCCCCCGTGCCCCCCACCGTGTGTCCCCCCGCCTATGTGTGCTCCCACCCGTGTCCCCCCGTCCGTGTATCCCCGCCTGCGTGTGCTCCTACCCGTGTGTGTGCGTCCTTCGTGTCCCCCCACCACCTGTGTCTTCCCCCCCCCGGTTCCTCCCACCCCCTGTGTGTCCCCTTACCCCGTGTGTGTCCCCACCGTGTGTCCACTCCCCGCGTGTCACCCCCCACTCGTGTGTGTGTGTCCCGTGTTCCCCATGTCACCTCCTGACCCGTGTGTCGTCCCCC